CCCCAGATCTGCAGCCCCCAGGTCTCCCCAGAGCTCCCCAGAGCTCCACAGATCTGCAGCCCCCAGGTCTCCCCAGAGCGACAGAGTCCCGACCGGGGCTACCCGCATCGCACCTCCCAAACCCCATGCTGATAAGCCCGCCTTTTCGCTCTGCTGGAGGATACAGTCTCGGATGGATTTCTGCTCGATCTGCTGCAGCTCCAGCTCCACCTGCTTTGAGTAGTGTCGAAGATCCACACCCTGGAGAAAGGACGAGAGAAGCTGGGAAGGAGCCACAGTGGACGGACACCAGGACAGACCCAGTGTGGGCTAGAGGGACACAGCAAGGTGACCAAAGACCAAGAGTAAGGAAGGGTAGGAGATCAGCATAGTGAGGGCCTCACCGTTCGGAGAGCTTCCTTCACTAACTCATCCTCCAGATTTGCCTGGATGTGAACTGGAAACAGAAGTCTGTCATTGAGGACCAGCACACCCCTTCTGCCCACACTGGGCACCCGCATCCCAGTCTCCCCTTTCAGCCAGCCCTATCCTCTCCCGTTACAGGAGCAGTCGCCCTGCACAGTCTGGCGTCCGGCTATTTCGGTTCTTCGTAGTACAGTCAACCACAGACCAGAAATATTACATGGAAAGTTCCAAAACGTGAACTTGTAAGTGCTAAAGCATGTGGCATCCTGAGAAACTGAGGGACCCCGGCCCTGGGTACGAATCGTCTCTGCTGGGTATGGCGTGTGTGGCAGCAGCTCACCAATCACTCGGGAGCTGTCTTAGTTGTCAGATTGGCTGGCTGCACCGTTATGTCCATAACGGCTTTTTAATTTTCACAATAGTCCCAGAGAGCAAAAAGTGGCTGATGGGGCGGTCATATTACAGTGTGTTGCTATAACCCCTCTACTCTACTCTTCATCTCTTACTGAGCTTCAATTAGAAGCTCAACCTTCTCAATTCATAAATTAAACTTTACACCTACATTTAAAAAAAACATGCAGGGGTTGGTCCGGGGGGGGGTGGTCATCTACTGGGGTCGCATTACGCATTCCTAAAGGATAAAGGGGGCTACTTTGGCCGCCACTTACCATCCACTTCATCCAGGATGAATTCATCAGAGGTAATATCCAACTCTCCCAGCTGCAGGGGCTCTTGGAGTCCAGAACCAGCCCCCTGAAAAGGGACAGATTAGTGAAGGTAGGATATAGAAGGAGACGCTGGAAACAAAATAAAACCGGATATCCTTAATCCTGCAAGTGAGGTAGGCGAGGGGTGCTTTTCCAAGAGGGCCTGAGTAAGTGGGTCAAAGCTTCTGAGGCACGCAAATCTACTTCTGTGGGCTACTGAGAAGAAAATACGTCACAGTATCAATAAATGGAGGCGCTGGAGGTGTCCAAATGAATTAAATTCAGACTCGCCTTTTACTTCAGGACCTCAGTGTCCGCTATCTCAGGTGTTCTACCATCACACCCTTACGGAGTTTCAGATGCTAAAATTGTCAGCTTACACAGTGCTTACTCGCGTGCCGGGTGCACCCTGACACACAACTCATTCAGCTAATCCTAACGACGACCTAATAACGCCTCCACTTTATAGGTGTGGGAAGCAACGGCACCGAAAACCCAACATAGCTGGGGCTGGAAGGGGGACCCAGGCAGTCAGGCTCCAGAGGCCACGATCTTAATCCTTTATACTATATTCTCTTTTCCACTAAAAACAATATTTTTTTCTAGCGTGAATAGGAAGCTGACAGTGTGAGCCTCGGCCACTCTGGTTCCTTCGACGGCTCAGTCAACCTTAATCGTAGCAGCAGGGCTCCGACCCTGTGTCTGAACCCAGCCTACGCCTTCCAGGGGAGAGGGACGGCCTGACGACTGTCTGCAGGACAACCAGCCCCGTGCTCTCACCAGCGGGCCCTCCTCCTCCTCCATATCTGAGGTCCCAGCCCGCAACACCAGCTCCCGGGCAGCAGCAGCCATGGTCTCCGCGGCTGCCATTCCCCCGCAGCCTCACTTCCGGCAGCTGTCAGTCTCTGAGTCCGTTTCCCGAAGCGAAACCACAAGTCCCAGAATGTCTTGTACGATGCAAAAAAAAACGTTCCCAGATATCTGAGCTAAAGTGACTGGCTCCAGTCTCCCCTGTTAGGCTTTGATTACTTCGGTCAAGTGCAAACGGGAAGATGGACGTCTCGAACACAGCCCCGCTCCGGAACCTTCGCTGCTCGCACGCACAGGAACCTTACGACCGCAAAGACGACCGAACCGGAAGTTACAGCCCCCCCTCCCCCGATCCAAACGTCTCGGTTCCACTCCTCTCTCAGGGAGGGGCGAGGAAAGAGAAGCCGTTTCCGGAAGCATTGCTCCTAGATAGGCCCGCCTCTTCCTCCCGGAAGGTATATAAGGACCATACGTCACTTCCGCTCTCTCTTCCACAGGAGGCCTTCACGCCGCCGCTTGTGCCGCCGCCATGGTAAGAACGGAGTCCGCCGAGATCCGACGACATCGGAGCCGGGGCAGGGAGCGTTTCCCGTCGGGGCTCACGGAGGGCCCTGTCCCGCGGGCCTGCAACTCTCCCTGACGCGATGGAGAGCGGCCCGGGAGGGCGCAAGCCAAGACGTGGAATTCCGGGGAGCAGGGGCCCGAGGAAGGGTCGCTCCCCGGACACACGAAGGTTGTCGGGAGCGTGTCTGTGTGTGGGCCCGTCCCGCCTCCGCTGCTCCGCGCACTTCGCGCCGCGGCCACTGTTCGCTCCTTGGCAAAGCGTGCGCTTTCCCGCGCTTGAGCGTTTGGCGGTGTGGTGAGCCCCGAGGAGCTGTGTGAGACCTTAGCGGAGGAGGGGCTCCTGCTCCCCGGGTCGCCCCCCTGCGCCTCAGAGACCTCCGTGGTCTGTGTCTGATAATCCCGTGTTCTCTCAGTCTTTAGTGATCCCCGAGAAGTTCCAGCACATTTTGCGAGTACTCAACACCAACATCGATGGGCGGCGGAAAATAGCCTTTGCCATCACTGCCATTAAGGTAAAAGCGCTGTCAGGGGCCAGAGAGTGCAAGAGACCCAAGTCCTGCTGGCTTGCAAAGGAGTAGCAACCAAACTCGCCTAACGTAGTAAAAGTCTGAAGATGATCCAATGTTAGACCAAAACCTTTTGCCCGGGGAAGCGAGGCATGGTCGTGCCCACCGTTGCTGAGGTTTTCCTAGAGGTCGGTTTGTGAGCTCGAGCCTATGGTGTTCTCTGCAGTCAGCAAGCCTTGGGTGGGCGCTATTACCATGCGAGTGCTAGCTAGGACTGCCGGGATGGGATGGTCTGGGGTGCCATTGCGGTGGCGTTTATTCTGGTTGAAATAGAAGCCAACACTTGGCTTTGACTCCGGTGTGAAGTCCCATCTGTGACTTCTCGCGCTTGCTGTATTTTAAGGGATTGTGCCCTTTGGGAAACAGTGACAGTGGAAGGTCGCTGGGGCGGGGAGGCGGGGGCAGAGTGGATGCAGGTCTGGGAGATTGAGAGGCCGGGGTGGGCTGCTGCTGGTACCACATGTGACCTGCCTTTTCAGGCGTGGGCTTCTTGCCGGTGTTCGTTGGGGACTGCAGTGTCTACAGAGCCTGGGTCCTGAGGGTTAAGAAACGAACCCTGTTGACTCAAGGGGTGGTGATGGGGGGGTGACTTCCAGGGGTGTGCTTGAGGTGTGGTGCAAACTGACCGAGAAAGGGTGAAGGACACTGGAGGTTCTGTGCCATGGCTCCTTGATTTCTGTGTTCTTTTTAATTCATTTTATTTTATGTGCATTAGTGTGAAGGTGTCAGATCCCTTGGAATTGATGATACAGACAGTTGTAAGGTGGCATATGGGTGCTGGGAATTGAACCCAGATCCATTTGGAAGAGTAGACAGTGCTCTTAACCACTGAGCCATCTCTGCAGCCTGATTTCTGTGTTGACTATTGGGAGGCATGTAGGAAGGGGGTGGACAGACATGCCAGCTGCCCTTAACCTGGAAGGCCACCGAGTACTGTCGGGGTCCCAGTTCCTCCAAATCTGGGTAAGTGCTAACAAGTCAGAAAGCAGTCTGGGTGTGGTGTCACGGTTTTATTGAAATGGGGTCTCGCTGTGTAGCCTAGGCTGTTGAACCACAGAGCTGTTCTACCACCACTACCAGCCTGCATTGCACACGCTCAGTGCTCTGAGCCGAGACAGCCAAGCGGCCTGTGAGAAGAACAAGCACAAAGTACCATTATGGGGCGGTTGTAGGAGTTGTGACTTCTTGGCTCAAGCCCAGGTGCTGGAAGAGCAGCGGTTTCTCCAGCTTCTACAACACTTTTTTCCACTTAATTCTGGCAGTCGGGTTGGGGGCAGAGTCACACCCCCTCTGGGGCCTAAATACTTGGCTTTGCTCGTCTGTTGGTGGGAACACTGCTGTGAGGGGGTCCGCAGGACCCACTTCATTATAGTCTTTGTATTTAGGGGCCACCCTGATCGCCTGTGGCCGATGGTCTCTGCAAGGGGAGGGTCAGGCACAAGGTCACTTGATGTGGGGACACTGCATCCAATGCAGTTTGCTATCACCTTCAGTTGGGCGTCACCATGCAAAAACTAAATGCTTAGAGCCAGAGGCTGGGCATTGAGGAAAGATACTTTTGTGGTGTTGAATCTGTTACTGGCCCGGTGTGTGTCCTCAACAACGTTCCTTTCTGATTGAAAGCCATGCTTGGTGTGTCTGGAAAAGTGATCTGGGAAGTTACGGGGTTCCCTAGAGCCGTCTATAGTGGTGGGATTGAGTAATACAGGATCTCACACAGGTAACTAACAGTCCTGTTGTCCTCCTGAGTGCTGGGATAACAGGTAATTACAGCCAGCCTATTTTCAGTAAAAGAAAACAAAGAGGTTTAGTGTCAGCCTCTACCTCTTCGCCTCAGGGTGTGGGGCGCAGATACGCCCATGTGGTGCTGAGGAAAGCAGACATTGACCTCACCAAGAGGGCTGGAGAGCTCACGGAAGACGAGGTGGAGCGGGTGATCACCATCATGCAGAACCCTCGGCAGTACAAGATTCCAGACTGGTTCTTGAACAGACAGAAGGATGTGAAGGATGGGAAGTACAGCCAGGTGTGTGTGTGGATAGGCCGGGTACAGGGGTGTCCCTTAAACCTGGGCACCGAGTCGGGAGGTAAGTGAGGCTGACGCCTGTCTCCAAATCCAGGTTCTGGCCAACGGTCTAGACAACAAGCTGCGTGAAGACCTGGAACGGCTCAAGAAGATTCGAGCCCACAGGGGCCTGCGCCACTTCTGGGGGTGAGTGGACGGGGCTCCGCCTGCCTGCTCACGCGTGGCCCAGGGCTTCCTGGCTCAGCCTTTGCTGGTTTGTAACCTGTGACTTGTCTTCCTCCTGCAGCCTTCGTGTCCGAGGTCAGCACACCAAGACCACCGGCCGCCGGGGCCGTACTGTGGGTGTGTCCAAGAAGAAATGAGTCTCTGGGCCTTTGCTGTTAATAAATAGTTTATAAACCTATGACCTCGGTCTCTGTCTTTCTTCTGGTGGTTACTAACTGGCTGGGTGTAGTGTCTTCCCCCACCGACTCAGTGTCACACTGAGTTGGGCTGGGAAGCAGCGCGGTCCTGCGACCAGCCATCCTGGTATTATCTACCCGCCAAGGGTTTTTTTGTGGGGAGGAGGGAGGCCAGCCTCAAACTCACCTGCCACTGCCTCCCCGGGTGCTGGGATGAAAGGCGGGCGCCACCACGCCCATCTTGTCTTCATGGTAACTGCCACTCAACTACCCTCTGGTGCAACTGCGTCTGGGCGGGAACAGCCAGCACTGTTTAGGCAGAGGTGGGGCCTCCAGGGGGAACGGCCAGGTTGCTACAGTGTCTCCCGGGGTTGGAGTGCAGAGCTGTTGTGAGGAGCGCTGCACGGCCAGATGGCACTCCGGTGAGCTCCTAGGCGCCGCCGCTCTGGGGGTCCTGCGTGGGAAAGGTGGTTCTGGTGAGAAGGGCTGGGCCAAGTGTCGGGTACGCGCTGCCGGTCGGCTTCCGGCCTACAGTGGCATGATGGGAAGGCGGTTGGGGAGGGGCGCGATGGAGCCGAGCTTGGCGTGCCGGCAGCTAGGGGAAGAAGGCAGCGGTCGCCGGTGCCTGCTGTGGACTGTGGCTGCATGGCGACTACACCTCGCGATGCGCCAGCCCCGCCCCACCCCCACTGCCCGGCACCGGCCATCACGTCTCTGCTGCGGCCGGTTAGGGCCGCTCTCCCACCTCCCAGCGCTCTAACAGCTCTGCCCACCCCACAGGACTCTGCGGCTCACCATGCCGCTCAGCCTCTTCCGGCGCCTCCTCCTGGCGGTCCTACTGCTGGTGATCATCTGGACCCTGTTTGGGCCCTCCGGCTTGGGGGAGGAACTGCTGAGCTTGTCCTTGGCATCCCTGCTGCCCGCCCCGGCCTCACCGGGCCCTCCCCTGGCCCTGCCCCGCCTCTTGATTTCCAACCCCGAGGCTTGTGGTGGTCCGGGACCCCCTCCCTTCCTGCTCATCCTAGTGTGCACGGCCCCGGAGCACGTGAACCAGAGGAACGCCATTCGGGGATCTTGGGGCGCTGTCCGTGAGGCCCGGGGGTTCAGGGTGCGGACCCTGTTCCTCCTGGGAGAACCTGTTGGACAGCACTTTGCCGACCTAGCCTCCGAGTCAGCAGCTCAGGAGGATATCTTGCAGGCCTCCTTCCAGGATTCCTACCGCAACCTCACCCTCAAGACCCTCAGTGGGCTGAACTGGGTGAACAAATACTGTCCCATGGCCCGCTACATCCTCAAGACCGACGATGACGTGTTTGTCAACGTCCCAGAGCTGGTGTCAGAGCTGATCCAGAGAGGGGGCCCTTCGGAGCACTGGCAAAAGGGGAAGGAGCCCCAGGAAGAGACCGCAGTTGTCCATGAGGCGCACAAAGGCCAGGCCGTGCCACTTCTGTATCTAGGCCGGGTGCACTGGATGGTGAGCCCCACTCGGACACCCGGGGCCCGGCACCACGTGTCAGAGGAGCTGTGGCCTGAGGCCTGGGGTCCCTACCCGCCCTACGCCTCTGGCACGGGCTATGTACTGTCCGCCTCCGCCGTGCAGCTCATCCTGAAGGGGGCCAGCCGGGCGCCCCTTCTACCTCTGGAGGATGTGTTTGTGGGGGTGAGTGCAAGGCGAGCAGGCCTTGCCCCCACACACTGTGTCAAGTTGGCTGGTGCTACCCACTACCCCCTGGATCAGTGCTGTTACGGCAAATTCCTGCTCACATCGCACATGGTGGATCCGTGGAAAATGCAGCAGATCTGGAAGCTGGTAGGCGGACTCGATGGGGAAAGGACTGAGCCCTTCTGCTCCTGGCTCCAGGGGTTCCTGGGTATCCTGAGGTGCCGGTTCATAGCCTGGCTCAACAGCTGACAGCCTGGGGTCATGGGAAGGGAGGCAACACTCCAGGGACCTTTGCCCAAAAACCGGTGCACAGGCTGCCCCTCCCTGCCGTGACCCATCTCCTCCCAGCAGACCCTCAAACTGCTACCAGGCAAGGGTAGATAGGAGCCTTGGGCCTGTCCACCAGGGACGAGCACAGGAGGGGCTGGGGAAAACTGTCCTCCACCAGCTGATAAGAGCCCAATAAACGTCTCCACCTCAACTGTAGCGTCTTCATCAGGGTGGCCACACCTGGAGAGCTCACAGGCTCCCGCACTGTGCCGCGGGAGACCACCTGAGGGCAGCCACTCTGGGGTAAAAGGCCCAGGCAACCGTGGGGTTGGGGGGACAGAGGCAGGGCAGTGAGCGGAGTCTAGAACAGCCACACACAGGGGAAGAACAGATCTACAGGATGATCCAGACAAGTCAAAACCCTTAATACCCAGCGCCGCCCAAGGAGCTGGCTGCTGGCACCCAGCTGAGACACAACTGGGATCCTTGTGTTTCATTTATTTACACTGCGTGTGTGTTGCACGCCGCCCTGAGTGTGCATTAGTCTTTGTATACACAGAAAGGGTAAAAGACAACTTCTGTGTTTCCCCTGCTGCCTGGACTGAACTCAGGTTTGACATCTCAAGCGCCTTTGCCCACTGAGCCATGGCCCCTGGGTCATCTTGGAGAGTGCTGTCAGCTCATCGTACAAATCTATCCAGTGCAGATGGACGGGCTCTAGCAGGCTTGGCCAGTTCTTGCTGCTGCTGCTGCTGCTGCTCAAGGCTCTGCCGGACTTTATCCTGGGGAGAAGGTGGGGAGGAAGCACAGGGCACAGTGAGCAGAGGCTGGCTGACAGAAGGCTGGAGGGTGCAGCCTGACAGCCCACGCTTACACACCCTGTGCTCCTGGTCCATGACTTTCTTCTTCCTCTTTACCAGGCTCGCTGTGGAGCTTCTGCCCTTCTGCTTTGCCTTGGGTTGGAAGGCAGCCTTGGCATCAGGGTCATAGCCCTGACAAGGGACAGGAGGGAAGTCAACAGCAGTCCTAGTGAGCTGACAGCTCCTACCTACATTTTGAGCTGCACTTCAAAATGAGGTGGGGCACAGAGTTGAGGACTGGATGCTCAGGCAGGAGTGAGGAAGGCCAGGCAGTAAGACAGGGGTGAGGAGGACCAGGCAGTAAGGCAGGGGTGAGGAGGACTAGGCAGTAAGGGCAGGAGTGAGGAGGACCGGGCAGTAAGGCAGCTCCATACCAGTCTCTCTATCCGCTCCTTCTTTTGCTGCTCCAGAGTGATCACATCTACCTTTGCCAGGGCTCGGGGGTCCAAACAGATGAGCTCTGCAGGTACCTGCAAGTATCACAGGACAGGAATAAGTAAGGAGCCACAAGGAGGTGACACGAGAAAGGGACGGAAGCCGGGAGGTTCAAGCCCCAGCAGAGCTCACCTTTTCTAGTAGAGCCTTCACCTCCCATTCCTGGCGCTGCTTCCGGCTCCTGTACGGGTTGTTCTCCAAACCATCAAAGTTGGGCTCAGCAGCCCCTGAGGGAGACGGGAGAGAGGAACGTGGAGCTGAGTATAGTCCTGCCACTCTGGACTGAGCAGGCCTACTGCCCCTCCCCAGCTGTCTCTAACCCATGCACACTTATGATCATGTCATGTTCTCTGGCCCACTCACCGGGGACCAGCATGCTGGTGATTCCTCCACTGTGCCCCACCCCCAACACATCTTCAAAGGGGCAGAACTGGAGTCCATGCACGTGGCCTGATAATCGGTGGGTGAGGTAAGGCTGCTCCAGGGAGGGTGGGCTGGCCTTGCCCTGGCCTGTCCATATGTTGACCACATCACCCATTCCTGCAACTAACAGGCCCCGCTGGGAAAAGGCCAGATGCCCTGCTCCCTGGGGCAAGGTCCGGGCACTCAGGGGCTGGAATGTCCCTCGCAAATCAAAGATCTTCAGCTGGTGGTCCAGACCAGAGGTGGCCATGTACCTGTGTGGGGAAATGGACCAATCAGTCTCCAGTGGGGACTGACTGGAGCCTGTGGCAAAGTCCCAAGTGTGTAATCTGGACGTGATGGAAAGAGTGACTCTCTCTACACTAAACGCTGCACCCCACACACCTCACTGCTTCCATTTATTTGTTGCTTCTCATCTGTCTGTTCTGAGAGTCTCACTATGGCGTCCTAAACTCCAGAGCAACCTGACTCTTCTTCCAAAAACTGAGATTGAGGGTGTACACCCATTTGTTTTCAAGGCCAGGGAGATCTGGGTGAGGGAACATCAAGTCAGACCTGTTTCTTTGGGGGTTTGTTGTGGTTTGGCGGGAGCACTGAAGTCAGGACCGCATGCCTACTGGACCGCTGCGCTAGCCACCCCTTTCTCCTGCCCACCGCTATCTAGTGCCTGCCCCCAAGTCACAGATCTGCAGAACACATGTCCTTCTGTCCCTAAGCATGTGTTCTACCTCAGATAGGCAGCAGGGCCAGGCAAAGGGTCCAAGCACCTAGAGATTAGGGAGGCCTTCCCTGGCAAGAGAGCCCAGGCTGTGGTAGCAGACCAGCTATGGACAGACATGACAGCAGAAGTCTGTCTTCAGGGTTGCTGGGAATAAGAGCAAAAGAACTATGCGGGTGTCCTGAAGTCTGCCCCACAGCTCATTAGCCCAGCATCTCTTTGCCGGTGATGTGATGTGTGAAGACCATGTTTCCTAAGAAGACACTCCTAGAAAGTAGCACACAGACAGCACAGAGCTACCCCATGTTGAACCAAATTCCCTACGGTAAGCTGCTTTCTTCAGAGGCTGAGAGGGAGTTAACGGTGATAACATGCGACTATGGGATCCGGCAGTTAAGTTCCAGTCCGTTAGCCCCACTGCGTGCGGAAGCATCTTATAGGAAGCATTTCAGTCTCCAGGAGCTAAGTCAATGCAATCCTAGTGCAGGCTTCCAGAAAGCCTTGGGGAAGAGATGGCTTCACCTGTCACCTGAGAACCAGGGCTAAGCAGGATCCAGTTCACGACTACGGTGCTGACCAGGTAATGAAGCCCTGGGCTGGACAGTTGGGGGCCCAGGCAGGGTGAGCTACATTCAGCCCTAGTGGCCACTAAAGGCACAAGGCTTCAGACAGGCTTTCCTGCTCTCCAGAGCCAAGCTGGCGTAGATGGGAGAAGGTAGAAGCAAAGCACTTGTCCACAAGGACAATGATGGCAGCCAGAGTGATCTCAGCATTTTGAAAGCTTCTACAAGTTGGTAACTTTGGGCTTTTCCTTCTTCTACCTTCTTGTTTACTGATTTTTCTAGGTTAAATTTCTATGTTAAATCCCTGATCATCCGTGTAAGACGGTGTAAGTGGTTTGTGGGAAATTCCTCTGAGAACAGCATCATGCAGGTCAGGGGAGACAGCACAGGCTCCCAGAGGTACAAGGAAAGGCAAGCAGGACTTCAAGGGTAGTCACAAGCTGGATCAAAAGTGATACTACCACTACCACGGTGGGGAGATGTCAGTGCACACCTTTAATCCCAGCATTGGAGGCAGAGGCAGGTGAATCTTTATGAATTCAAGGTCAGCGTGATCTGCAGAGTGAGTTCTAGGACAGCTAGAGACAGTTGAGTGACCAACAACCACCAAATTTTGAACCTTCATCTTCCTGCTTCAGCCTCCCGGGTGCTGGGCTTAAAGGGTGTGTTGAGCTGTAGCAGTCTGTTTAAAACTCTACTTTATTTGGGGTGTTTAGGCCTCCTCCTCCCTTCTCCCCACCCCAACCTTAAGTAGGAGAGACAGAAGGTTAGTGAGGCTGTTGGGGTAAAGGTTACCCGGCTGTTTAGGGTCAAGGGGTTCTATTAGGGCTGTGTACCATCTCCATCATCCACAGACACAGCCAGGGGCCTCCTTCACACTGCTGGGCCCTGAAGCGTCTCTCAGTCTGTCTGCTCCAAACCGCTACACTGTTATAAGCCGTGCACCAACAGCACCAACAGCGATGCCACAGAGCACTGCACCTTCTTTCTCAGCTCTCAGTGTATACCCTCAGAGTCCTAGACCACGGTCCTCTCCCGGCAGCACAGGGCAGGCCGTCACCAGCAAAAGCCTCGCTCCACATGCGACAGTCAACAGGTGTGGACAAACTATGTCTGAACTAAAATCCCACACCTGGGATTAAAACAAAAGCTTACTTACATACATACAAAGAAACCAAAACTTCCATTACACTGAGCCCTGATCCTTCTGGCTATTCTTACTTCAGGCCTACCAGCCACATCGTCTCAGCTTGTTGCTGATATAAAAGCTCTCTGTGCAGGGTCAAGTTGACCAAAAGCTATGTTTATGTTCAGCAGAACCTGGGGCCTTGCTACTCCCAGAAATTCCCCAAGCATAAGAGCAGCTGGCCCTAACTAGAAACTCCACTTGGGACCAATCAAATTAAAGGATCTACAACTGATTTGTCTAGTTAGCAAAAATAACTAAACTCAGAGGTGGCTGCCCTGTTCCACTGTCCCCAGCTCCCCATGTGAGCTAAGTGTGGTTTTTGCCTTTGTAAGCTAACTGAGAAACACACAATGTCACAGTCTGGTTCCCGAGTCCACTGTGTCCCTGAAAATGGTCAGTCTTGGGGTGCTGCCTTCAATAAATCATCCATATCCAACTGAGATGGTGTCTGAGTGGTTTGTGTGCTTCCTCTGGACGCTAACAGGGTGCTGCTCAGGCTGATTCTTGAAGAACTTGGGAACTGTGTGGTTCAAACTGTAAAAGGAAGGCACTGTGGCAGACTGCGTATCCCATAATCCAAACACTGAGGAGGCTGAGGCAGGAGGCTTACTACATGTTCCAGGCCAGTTTGAATTACAAAGTGAGACAACTCCCCAACTGCACACATAAACTGCGTGGACATGGAGGAAGGGTGAGTTTGGAATGTCAGCTTGCGCAGAATCTGGGCAGTTCCTAGTAAGGATACACTGTGTCATTCTCAAAGAGGCCAGTTCAGATGTAGCCGGATGGGAGCCTGCTGTCCCTGAGGGAATACCAACATTCAGATGTAGCTGGATGGGAGTCTGCTGTCCCTGAGGGAATATCAACATTCCCCATGCCTAGTCTGACAGGTGTGTTCTTCAGTTCCTGCCATCCATCACTCACAGGGCATCTTTGCCAGGTCAGGCTCTGAGCTGAACTAAGGACATTAGCTCGAATCCCTGAATCTATATAATGTGGCTACAGAGTTGAGTTCAGGTTGGGCAAATATTTGAGAAAAGGAACGGGAAACAAGGCACTTTAGGAGGAAAGTGACACACCAAGTGACAGACCCACCACAAAGTAACAAATTACCAAGTGCACCAATGGGAAGTGCTCCTGGAAGTGACATGACATGCACCAAGCTAGCCCCACGATGCTCTGAGGACCAGGAAACTGGCACACAGAGGCTACATGACACAGCCACTTTACACAGCTGGCCAGTGGCAAGATGAGGACACACGCAGCCGTCTGTGTTCCTCAGAGGTGGCTGCCGCCCACCTCTTTCTGCCCAGCCCTGCCCAACACCGCATCACCAAACCAGTGACTTACGTGCCTGTAGACTCCACTGCCACAGCCCGCACCCCACCGCGGTGGCAGAGAATCTTTGCCAGTGGCTCCTTCACACCTGGACTCCATAAGGACACAGTGCCTGGAAGTGAGGGAAGAACCCGGATCACTAATGCAAGCCTGACCCAGGTCTCCTGTTGCTGTTTTCAGCCTAAGGTTACTAAATGGAGGAAAGATGGGACTCAAGATGAAGACGGAGAGAACCTCCAAGGACGAGTGGCTGGGGTGTGGCTCAGGGGAGCCCTGGTCTCTTACGCTCAAGGCCCTGCGTTCAGTCCCCAGCAGCACATGGACTAATGCACTTGAAGAGGGCCAGAGAAGCCCAAGAGGAACAGGACAGCAGCCAGCATACACTTGTGGTATCTGCCATGTGGGAAGCTGAGACAGGACAGCTGCTGGAGTCGCAAGTCTGACATGGGTACCAGACCGTCTCAAAAAGAAAAAAAGGAAAAGCCAGAACTGACCGTTGCTGTGTCCAAGATGGATAACAGCATTGTAGGGGTTCTGAGTCATGACACCGAGGCGTCCAGCCCGCGCGTTCAGAGCTGTCACAATCTTCCCCACTGACACATCCAGGTAGGTCAGAAACCCTGTCTCTGACTGAGAGAAAACAACATGTCCAGCTGTCCAGGACAAAGGTCCTCCCGAGCACTGCCACGGGGCCCTCTGCAACTCACGGCAGTGGCCAGGAGGAAATGGAAGGGGAGAAACTCAAGCCGAGTGACTCGGTCACAGCGGCGGATGCAGTGGAGCTCAATGCCCTGGTTGTCGTAGATGTAAAGCCAACGGTTCTGAGCGACGGCGAGCAGAGCCTCAGAATGGAGAAAGCTGCACAGAAAGGACACGAGTTTCACGGGAGACAGGCCCACAGGGCATCATCCGGTTGGGAACGGGCAGGCCCACCCCATCGACCCAAACAGGAAACACTGACTGGATGTCCCGCACTGCCTCCATGACGTTGATCTCGCACATGAGCTTCTTTGTCACCCAGTCGAGGGCAGCCACGTGACCCCGACGGCCTCCTAAAGCCAGGTGTCTGTCGGAGGTGAAGCAAAGGCCGAGCGTTAATGCAGGGAGCATGCTGACCCTGACTGGAATGATTCAGGAGCCCCATCCCAGGCCCTCGACAGACGAGAGGGCCAGCAGCAGCCAGACTGGCTGCATAGCTGAGGAGGGCACAGCTCCAGGAGCTGAGGAAACACAGCCAAACTTAGTTCAGAGTCACCAAACGGGCTAGACAGATGGCTCCGTCAGAACCGTGCTTGTGTAAGGACTTAATGGCCTGAGCCTGGGTCCCTGGCACACATGGAACCCCAGGGCCAGGGAGGCCGAGGCAGGCGGGTCTTGCTGGACACCAGTTCAGGGAGGAGCCTGCTCGGAAACACGGACTGGAGAGAAGGCTCCCCCGTGAAGAGCACTTGCCGCTCTTGTGGGAAGCCTGGGTTCGGCTCCCAGCAACCACATGTCTACTCACAGCCATTGGTAACTCCAATGCCTGGGGATCCAGCACCCTCTTCCGGCTTCCCTGGGCACCAGGCTCACGTGATGCTCAGACATACGTGCAGGCAAAACACTTGTGCACATAAAATACTAAACAAAAACTTAGAAACGTTAAAAGGTAAAAGTGTAGGTTCAGCACAGAGGCTCAGTGGCTAAAAGTACTTGCTTACAAGCCTGGTGACCTGAGTTTGAACTCCAGAACCCACATAACAGCAGAGAGAGAAAATGACTCCACTCAGTTGATCCTTGAGTGAACCCCCCACACACACAGTGTCATGGGCATGCGCCAACACGCTAAGCAGGATGCCACACTGACCTCTGGTAATCATGTGCACACACACCCAGGTACAGAGATGTCAACACACGAAGGAACACACACACACACACACACACACAAGTCACTGGAAGTGGAGGGGCTGACGGGAGGTGTAGCTCAGTAGTCATGCGTGTACTTTGCGGGCACAGACAAGGTCATGGGTTCCTTCTCTAGCTTCCTACAGCTCCTGCTGTGATGATCCCTCTACCACAACAGACTACCTCCCAGGAACTATGGACCAAAATTCACCCTTCTTCCTCAGAAAGGGGGCGGGGGACTATGGAAGTGGGGCAATGCAGAGAGACAGAGCAGAGCTAGGAACGCACACACATAGCAACCTGTGTCCTGCGCATGCCTATGACCCCTGCCTGGAGGGAAAGGAAGACAGGATGATCACAGAGGGTTTGCTGGCTTCCAGGTTAAAAAAGCACAAGCCCCAGTTCTCACCTGGCCTCCAGCTGTGCACACAAACAAGTAAATACATAAGAAGTCCTTTTTTTTCTTGAGACAGGGTTTCTCTGTGTAGCCCTGGCTGTCCTGGACTCAACTTGTAGACCAGGCTGGCCTGGAATTCACGGAGATCCACCTGACTCTGCCTCCCAAATACTGAGATCACAGGCGTGTGCTAAGACAAGTCCTTTTTTAAGAGAAGAGAGCCACTGGAACGCAGCAGCCTTACCTCCCGGTTCGAGAGTAGTTCAGTCTGTAGGGTCCAAACTGCCTCAGATTCAGGTCAAAGTGCTGAGAAAGGGTGGAAGATGATCATGAAAGAATGAACTCGCCCAAGTGGCCTCCCGGGCCCCTCTTCCTCCTCAGGCTCACCTTGGCAGCACTTGCAATGTCCACGGCCTCCACAATGTCTGTCTGCAGTATTTTTGCTGTGTCTTCCCCATCTTCTCCTTCCAGAAACCTGAAAGGCAGTCAGGACGATGGTGTTGCGCTGCCAGCATGGAGTAAAAATGCAAAAACAACGTCCCAGAAAGATGGCAGGGAAAGCCCAGGTCGGGGTCCGCTCACCCAGGGTCCTCAGGAAGCAGCAGCTCAGCGCGGGCAGCTCTCACGCTCGCCTCTTCCTCCTGCGCTTCAGCCTTCTCAAGTTTGCTTCGGGTTTTAGGCTTCGGATGTGGGAGCTATGACATCGCCGGCAGGGTTGGCAGAGCCGGAGTGCGTTGGCGGGGTCCGAGGGGGAGCCACCACCCACCACCTCATCCGTGCACTCTGCCTTCTGCAGTCCCTCCCACAGCCCCGCTGGCCCTCACCTTTCCGGACTTGTCAATGCGACAGAACTTCCGGGCCACCTCCACGGGGGCGGGGGCGGATCCTGGGAACGGGTCCTGGGCCTGGAGCGGCGCAGGGAGGCAAGAGGCAGATTCCGATCGTCCGGGTTCCCGGCACTCTCCACTGCGCGGGGCGCCCTGCGCTGGCCCCCGTCAACCCCGGCTCAACCCGGGCTCACCCCCGACAGGGTCCTCCGCGGCTTCTTCCGGTCGGAGGCGTTCCTCGCGATCTGGGGCTTCTTGGAGGACCGAGCCGCCCTGGCGAGGTGCACGCTCCTGGACCTCTGGGGTCGCGGCTCCCGCGTCCTCGCCTTCTTCCCAGGCGGCCCCGGGGAGGCACCGGCAGCGGGCGGGGCGCTCTCCTCCTCCCAGTAGCGCCGCGGTTTCTAGGGACACAGGAGAGGGCCTCGCACTCGCAGTCCCAGCCCGAGCCCAGCGGCCGCCGCCTCCCACCAGAGCCGCTACCTTCCTCTTGGCCTGAGGTTTGTTTTTCCCGGGCGGGACGCCCCTAACCGACTTTGGGGCTGTCTCCATCTCGATGACCAAACCACAATCCACGTGTGGAACTCCCTTCCGGCGGTCCCACGGCCCTCTAGGAAACTTCCGGTCGTCCCGCGGCCTTCGTCCAATCAGCGCTGTACGGGGCTCTGAAGCCTCTGGCGCCATCTTGACTGAGGGCACGGTTCTCTGAGCCGGGTAGGCTCGCCCAAGGGGCAGCTTCGGACCAAGTGATGATTATAAGTTAAGTCTGGGCCCCAAATCTCGGTAACGACGAGTCTTATTTTCCAGAATCTCACACACAGGTCAGAACTACACGTCCCGGCGTGTGTCGATGCAGCTTCCGGCGCCGTCTTTTTCCCAGCATGCCTTGTTTACTTCCGGGTTCGTTGATACACAGGGTAGAACGTGAAGAGGTTGGGGTTTGGCTTGGAGGACTTGGGCGGGTGGTCTTCTCGCTCTCTGGGTCCTAGGGAGTGGCTGTTCCGGACGAGGACAGGCCGCGGTGCCTGGACGAGCCGCCGGTAGAAAGTGCTGCCCTTCGGCAGGGCCAGAAAGGGGAGCTCAGGCGCCCTCCAGCGCGACACCCAGCGAGCCCGCCCGGGAGGCTTTCACCTTCACCATGGCTGAGCTGATCCAAAAGAAGCTGCAGGGAGAAGTGGAGAAATACCAACAGCTGCAGAAGGGTGAGGGAGCGGAGTTGCTGTGGCCCTGCCCCTCCACTGCAACTCGAGCACACCGTGGGGAGGCGTCGCGCCCCCTCGGGGGCCCCGTGTGCAGCCAGCTGCCCCTTGCCTTACTATCCTCGCTCTCTTCCCCACAGCCAGTCTCGGGATTGAGCGGGGCTTGGCCCGTTTGATGTTTCTAATCCTGTGTTTCCTCTCGCCACTCCAGACTTGAGTAAGTCCATGTCCGGGAGGCAGAAGCTTGAGGCACAGCTAACGGAAAATAATATCGTGAAGGAGGTGAGGCTGGGACGCTGGGGGCAGAGAGGGGCTCTAGTGGGCACAGTTCTCTCACACACCACCCCATCCCCTCTTCAGGAACTGGCCTTGCTGGATGGCTCCAACGTGGTGTTTAAGCTTCTGGGACCGGTACTTGTCAGGCAGGAGCTGGGAGAGGCTCGGGCCACGGTGGGGAAGAGGCTGGACTATATCACAGCGGAAATGTAAGTGCTGCAGCTGCCGTCTGCAGTGCGCAGGTGTTGAGCCCGTGCTGGGTAGTTCTCCAAAGCAAGCCCCTGCTCATCCATTTCCCAAGCCCTCTTTTCATTGCCTCTTCCCTGGGTCAAGGTCAGCACGAAGTTCTGGCCGGCCTGGAACTCGCTCTGTAGACCAGGCTGGCCTCAGTCATAGATGTGCCTGCCTCTGCCTCCCAAGGGATGGGATCACAGGCGAGTCCCACCACTTGCGGCCATTCTTCTTGGATTACATTTGGTGGGGGCACATAGAGGACAGCCTGTGGAACTCTGAGATCAGCTGTTGGGCTTGCAGGACAGCAGCCCTACCCACTGGTCCCTCTCACCAGCCTTTCCTGCCCTTAGGGCCCTCCCCGAAGTTCTTTCCCACACACCTCAAATTTTCCACCAGTCTCCCTCTGTCCCGAACCAGTGAACCCCCACTGATTTCTCCTTTCCGCTTGTCTCCCCTTTCCCTCCTCAGCAAGCGCTATGAATCGCAGCTTCGGGACCTTGAGCGGCAGTCAGAGCAACAGAGGGAAACCCTTGCTCAGCTGCAGCAGGAGTTCCAGCGGGCCCAGGCAGCAAAGGCAGGGGCTCCTGGGAAGGCCTGACCCCATGGGAGGGGGAGGGGAGGGGAGGGAGGGATGAGGCTAACCCTGAGCCAATAAAATGTATACAAAACCAACCCTACTTCCTAGTCAGTGTTTCCTCACATTGTTTCCATTTCCCTTTCCTGGCCCTTCCTAGTACTTGACACCTCTGAGATCCTTGTAACTGGAATCTCTCTGTGGCAGTATTCTGGTGTTTTGTTTTGTTTTCCTGTTGCTGAGAACTGGACTCAGGGTGTTGCCTATAGGCCTACACTTTTGAAACTGAAGTCTGAGCTGCCTCAAGTTGTTTCTTGCCTGCACATACAACCCTTTAGCTTCGGTCATGTTGGTCGGCATTACCCTGGGACACAGGGTAGACGATGCAGCATGTTGCTGTAGAATTCCGCTCTCCAAACTGAGCCCAGGATATGATGTCACTCACCATGAGTGTTGTCCCTAGATCCTTAGCTTGTTTTCACCTCTGTCTTCTTAGAATGGGTTTGAATGTAACTTTTAACTGACTTTTAACTGAAATTCCTTCCAGAACACCCACAAACTTGTTCTTTCTTTGTCTTAAGTTATTTCTTTTGAGTCTGCCTTGAGGTAAGTCCACAGTAATCACTGTAATTCAGGGGCCCCTGATTCTCAGGGTCTTTGACAAGAGAAACAAGAGTCTATAAAGGCGTCAGGAGTGAAGGGGTCACAGGGTTACCTTTGACCCGTATCCTGCTCTCAGATGCAAGGGGCACACAGGGCCTGGCGTGTCCCACCAAGCAGGTCACCTCTGAGCTATACCAGGCATCTTGTGGGAGGAGAATCACTGCCCTCATTGTGTGCCTCCTGCTTCCAACACTCCGCAGTCCCAGCACCCAGGCCTGTGCACTGAAGGAGGGCAGCACAACTCAGGCAGTGTTTTGGTTTATTATCTTAGTGTTGTCACCGTGACAAGAACCCCCAGATCTGGACAAGGGGCTCCCGACAGAACGTCTTGTCACTGGCCTCTGCCTGGGCTCCAAGCCTCTAGGCCTTTCCTTGGCCTGTCACAGGCTAGCATGTGGCTGGAGCTAGCACTGTTCCCAGCACAAACCTGTGCCACGTTCCCAGATGCGGAAGTGAGATGCAGGTATCCAACTTGGGTATAATCACCAGTCCCACGGGGCTGGCTTTCGCAGTGGTTTGGTAAACAAGTGACTTCACTGTCCCAGGGTGGCTGGCCTGTTCAGGGTTTCTGGTCTGATGTGACCGCAGTGATGGCTGCTCACACCTGGTATAAGTGCTATGACTTCTGTAAACTGATGGGGCTTCATCCTCAGAACAGTGCCCGTGCAATCTTCCTCCCTGTGGCCTTGATCCTGGGAAAGGAGCCCCCTCCTCCCTCACTTGGGGGAGTTCCCGAGGCAGAGGGGCCGCTGTGGGAGCCTGGTGTGGCAGCAGAGGGCCTTCTGCGCTGCCGCAGGAGGAAATCATGAGATGCGCCGTCCATGGCATAGAAGACATTAGCTGAGTGTGGGATGGTGAGCTCTGTGGGTTCAGAGGTGGGTGTCAAGCGTTCATTCCTCCCACAAGCGCCAGGCATAAGGGCGCTCCCTCCAGGCTGCTCACCTCGCTCCCCAGGGAGCAGCTGGACCAGCTCAAACTCTGAAGCCACAGCAGAATCACGATTGTTTTTCTTAAGGACGCGGCTAATGACACTTGGAGCCTTGTCCTGGCTTGTCACCTTACAGAAAGAGACCAAAAGAACTATGAATAAGCCAGACAGTGCTAACATATGCCTTTTATCCCAGCACGTAGGAGGCAGAGGCAGGCAGATCTCTGAGTTTGAGGCCAGCCTGGTCTACAGAGTAAGTTCCAGGACAGCCAGAGCTACAAAGAAAAACCTTGTCTCGGGGGGGGGGGGGGGGGGAAAAAAAAATGATGGCCTGTTTCCCATCCTTCTGACTCGGCCAAAAAGGTCACCTGTGTCCAATGCTTTAAAATAAACAAGAAACCCAATATAGCAGCTGCAGTGCCCCATAAGGCAGCCCACATGGTGCCCAGTGCCACCAGGCTGCTTCCCTGAGCGAAAACTGTTGGCTCTGAAAGTGTAATACAGCTCCCGACAACTCAGGGTGCGGCCTGCAAATGCAGTTACCATTGCCACAAACAACTGCTCTGAGCCTGCAGAAGCTGCAAGTGAGTCAGTCCTCTGACTGCACAAACCCAAGACGACACTGCTGTCTACTAAGGTAAGGTCCTTCCCGCCCTGCCCCGCCCCAGGCTCCCTCACCAAGATGCTCTTGTAGACGCTGCCATCTTCCCCCAGCTCCATCTGGACTCGGATAATTCGGCAATCAGAGGACCCTGGCCCAGGCGACCCTCCCCCATAGCCAGGACTCTTAGAGGGCCCCTCTCCTGTGGCCCCACTCAGTGGAGAGCCACAGGAGGCTGAGCGGCGGTGACCTCGAGAAGGCCTGGGGGAGGAGGCTGGAGGAGAGAGGTGGCCGGGGTCAGCAGGACTGCGCAGAGAGGAGCTGCTTTCCAGGGCAGAGTCCAGAGATGAGACAGACGGCCACTTCATGTGCTAGGGGCAAACGGGAGGTCATGAAGGGAGGGAGCAAAAGGGAGAAGTCGCCGTGTGCTCAGAGGCCTGACCAGACTCACCTGGGCAAGCCGAGTCAGCAGAGGAGCAGGAGCTGCAGGCACCTCATCTCCCCCAACACTGGGCCGGTCCCAGGACACAAGAGGGGTGGGGCCTCCGACAGAGCCCAGAACTCTGTAGAGGCAGGGGATTAGACAGCGACAGGGACAGTGGCAAGTCCCCATGAGACCAGCTCCCAGCCAGCAATAGTGCCCTCACTCTGTCCACTGTGAGATGACCAGTGTTGGCCGAAGCATCCTTGGAGCAGGGGAGTCACTGGTGCCAGGCGGCTCCACTTCACAGGACACTCGGTGACTGGACAGGATGGCCATGGGCAGAGGTCAGGACCTGCCACCAACACACACAAACACACACCCACCCCCAAGCCAGAATCCTAGAACCCAACCACCCAGCCGGTCACCTCTGAGCTTCGGTTAATGGTTGGAGGCCCCGGAGCCATTGTTGGATATCAGGGTCGGGTCGGAGGTCATAGCCACGGCATTCGTTCTGGAGGCGCAGCAGCTCCGAAAGGACAGCAAACTCCTAGGAAGGAGCCCTCAAGCTGCAGGAGCCAAACCCCAGGGCCCCTGGCTTTGCCTCCCTCTTCCCCTTCCTGCAGCACAGACAGGGAAAGCCAACCTCCAGCCCCATAGTCCTCTCACCTTCCTCCGCTTGTCAAAATTGATGTAGCCGTTCTGCAGGGCGGTGGGAACGGGAGGAAAGTGTGTGTTGGGTGCCAGTAAGAACCCCTCCCCCAAGCAGCACAAGCCACTCAGGGCCCGGCATTCCTCTCTCCTCTCCACTCTCATCTCATCTCAGACCCAAACTCTTGCTCTTCATTTGATCCTTGTTTATTTTCGAGACGGGGTCTCACTGTGTAGCCTGGGCTGGCCTAGAACTCACCATGTAGATCAGGCTAGCTTTCAAGTCATACAGCTACACCTGCCTCTACATCCTAAGTATAATACAGTGTACCTGTGTGCTAGGGTTAAAGGCATGTGCCACTATGCTGGGCAAAATAAATCTTAAGAAACAAATAGACCTGGAGGCAGAGACAGGCGGATCTCTGAGTTTGAGGCCAGCCTGGTCTACAGAGTGAGTCCAGGACAGCCACGGCTACTATACAGAGAAACCCTGTCTCAAAAATCCAAAACAAAAAACACAAATAGAGAAACAGTGTAGAGCAGGCTGGCCTCTAAGTCAGAGAGAGCAGCTGCTCCTGCATCCTGAGCACAATGCTGGGTTCCAGGGATACCCAGCAACACCTGGCACTTTAAACTGTTGTCTAAGGCAGAGAGCACCATGCTTCAAGATGAGGAAATGGGGCTCACGGTGGAACAAGGGACTTTCGGGAAACCTCAGCGTTTTGTTTTGTTGGCAGCGCTGGGGATGGAACCCAGGATTTTGAACATGGTAGGGAGAACCTCACACCACCACCAGCTACTCAGGATTTGTATATTTGGTAAACTGTATCTGCCCATGTTTCAAGAACGCTCTAAGCACTTGACATATAGCTCTGATACGCATATACAGGCTCACGTACACACATGCAGTCGGACATACACTAAAGTAGAGATTCAGCTACTTGCCTTGGTAGCAGGCCCTGGCTCCAGAGACTGCACCCCACTTCCTCTGCCTGCAGCCTTTCTGTGGAGGGCGTCTGCCTGACCCTGAGGGGCTCTTGTCAAGCCATCCAGGGCAGACCACACACACACACACACACACACACACACACACACACACACACACCACCTACCTCCAACTC